TCCTCAAAAAGCGTTCTTGATTTCACCGTAGGTTCGACTCCAAACTCTATTCCCGTGTAGACTGGTGGACCAGAAGCCAACATGAACTTCTTGATAACAACTCACAAACTAAACGACAATACTTTCTCCAACGGTCCCAAGCAGTGTCCTTATTTATCAAAGGACAGGAGAAATTTAATTACCTCACAAGCATAATTCGATAAACTCCAAAGATTGACCTCGTATATGGAGCTTGAAAAATGGAGAACTACATGGTCATGTCGTGGCTGATCCACTCCATGGAATCGTCGATTGTCGTCCCTATATGTTTCTTCTACTAGTGCCATCTGGACGGCAGTCCGTGATACTCACTTGGACTTAGGAAACTCCGATCAACTCTATTACTTGTTTAAGAAGATCTGAGAGGCAAAAAAGCGATCAAGGACCGTGATCCAATACTAAAAAAAACCTGGTTGCACTATGGATGAAATATTATCTGTACTACGACTTTACTTGGCACTCCGACCGACGTTTCAAACTTCCAAAAAATTGTAGAAAAGGATCGCATGTTTCAATTCCTGGTAGGCCTCAACAAAGACTTTGACAAAGTTTGGGGCCGTATTCTTGGATGGAATCCTCTTCCTTCTGCTCGTGCTGCTTTCATTGAGATACACAGCTAAGAGAGTCAGAGACTTTTCATGCTCGATGCTTCCACCCCTTCAACTGAAGCGTTCATTTTGGTTTCTAATAGTGCTCAAACCTCTTGGGCAAGTCACCCCACTTGTGATTACTGTCACAAACCCAACCACACTCCTGACAAGTGTTGGAAGCTCCACAAAAAATCGATATACACATCCTCATTCAAATCCTCTGTTGCAAGAGTTTTACTACGACATCAGAGCCTACCACACTTCAACCGGCTTCTACCCAGAATATCTCAAAACCCTCCAGCTCTATAAAGTCAGATGGAACACTTAATCAAGTTACTTGGATCGAATCAATTCTTTGCTGTCCTCTCGACGTCACACGTCCGTCAAGGTACCATCCCTATGACACATCTTTTTCCTCCTCTGATCCGTGGATCATTGATTCAGGTGCACAGACCATGTGACTGAATGCTTGCAAGCTTTCTCGACATATTATTCATGTTATGGAAAAGATACTGTTAGAACTACGGATGATTCCTTTAATTTCATTGCTAGTAAATGATTTGTTGTTGCAACGACCGGTTTAACTTTGAAATCTATCTAACATGTATCACTTTTGAAGTGTGACCTTTTATCTGGCAGTAAGTCAACTCATGACATTGATTGCGTTGCTCATTTCTCTCTTGATGTTTGTGTCTTTCAAATTCTTCATTCGGGGAGGATGATTGAAATTACTAAGTGGGTAACTGGACTCTACTACTTTCAAAAAGAAAAACATAGAGAACGAGGACATACCACTCAATAGTTGTAATATGTCTCGAGTCACTGAATGTTCCATTATGTTCTTGTATTCTCACTAGAGTTATCATAGTTTCAAATATTTAAAACATTTGTATCCAATGATGTTTTCTAATCAAATTTTTTCTAGTTTGAAGTGTGAGAAATGTCAATCAGCCAAACATTATCAGGTTTATTACCCAACCAACGCTTACGTACCTTCCACTTCTATTTCACTCATTCATAGTGATGTATGGGGATTCTCTTGCACTGCCAGCTATACCAGTAAATGGTAATTCCTTATTTGCATTGATAACCACACTATGTGGGTTTATATTTTAAAAGACAATCGGAAGTCGCTGTCACTTTCTAAAATTTCTACATCTTCATTTTGACATATTTCAAAGCTCCAATTCAAGTCGTACGAACCAATAATAGTCGTGTGTTTTTTAACTCTATTTTTAGTAATTCTTTGTAAGCAGGGATATCCTCTACCATAGCTCGTGTACGGGAACTTTTCAAAAAAATGAGATAGCTAAGAGGAAAAACCTACATCTTCTCGACATTTCTCGCTCCATTATGTTTTAATATAATGTCCCAAAACGTTTTTGGAATGATGACATGCTGACTGCACATATCTCAGAAATAGTCCATTCTAAAGTTCACGGACATTATTCCTTATCCTAATCTTATGGATGTTCCTACCATTGTTCCTGCCACCGAGGAATCTCCGGTTCCTGTTGTTCCATCATCTACTCCCACTCTGCGTATCTACCCTCGACACACCAGTCCCGATGACCCTCCTCTTGAGCATGCTACCTCCTTGTAGGGCCTTGAATCCACTCCTATCGACATCCCTGACACTATTCCTACTCCTAATGAGGGGTTGAGTTCCTCGAGTAAGGTACGCAATCAGACATGCCCTCTCTATTCTATGACAAAGTATCTCTCTTTTCGTAATTTATCGCTAAGTTTCAGAGCATTTGCTACTGCCCAAATGGATCATTAGATCCCAGTTATTGTTGAGGCTGCACTAGTTGATTCGACCTAAAAATATGCAGTAATGGAGGAGATGAGTACCCTTCGATAGAATCATACAAAGGGCGCCGTAGATATTCCTCGAGGTTAGCAAGCAGTGGGATGTTGATGGATTTTTAGCAGACTTACGAAGTTGACTATAAGGAGACATTTGCTTCGGCGACCAAGTTTTAAACATCATTCGGGTCCTGTTATCTCTTGCGGTGAATTTGGATTGATTTTTATTCCAACTTGATGTCAAGGGTGCGTTCTTGAACGGAGATCTTACAGAGGAGGTGTACATGTCTCTTCCCTTTGACTTTGACTTTACTACCTCCCCAGGGCAACTATGCCGTCTGCGAAAGTCCCTCTATTGACTAAAATAATTCACACGGGCGTGGTTTGGCAAGTTCACAATGGTAGTAGTGGGACATGATTTTATTCAGACTTAATCAAATCACACTATCTTCTTTCGACATTCATTTTTTGGAGTCTTTGAAAGACATTTTAGCTACATCATTTGAAATGAAGGATTTGAAATCTCTCTAATCTTCTTATGCATGAAAGTTGCTTGGTCATCTCGAGGCATTTGCTCGTCTCAGCGCAAATATGTGATTGACCTGTTAACAAAGAACAATCTGCTTCTGTGCAAAATGGTGGCTGTCCCAACGGATCTTAATGAAAGATTATTTGATGTTCCCAATGCGGTTCGTACTAAAATGACTCACTACCAACATCTTGTGGGGAAACTCATCTTCCTTATCCATACACGCCTCAACATATGCCATGCGATTGGTATAGTAATTCAATTCATGAATGACCCCTATGCGCATCATCTTCACGCTGTCCACCAGATTGTCCATCATTTAAAAAGCACATCAGACTCATGTTTGTTTTTCTCGCGCCACCCCCTTTGTTCATGATCGATGACCTACCTCAGGGTATTGCTCATTTGTGTGGGGAAATCTTGTCACATAGAAAATCAAAAAGCAGTCGGTCGTTGCCCGGAGCAGTGCTGAAGCTGAATTCTGATCCATGCCCTTGGGGATCTGTGAAGCTCTCTCTTTATGCATCATGGTCCGTGAACTACGTATGCCGACGTCCGACCCTTTGCAGCTATTCTATGATAATAAGACCATCATTAGCATTGCCCATAACCTGGTTCAACATGATCATACCAAACATGTGGGGAGATTTTCAGCTAGCAAATATCCCCACAAAGAATCTTTCTCGGCCACTATTCGATGACTTCAAATCTATGTTGAACATTATTGACATCTATGTTTCAACTTGAGGGGGTTATTAGAATGTTAAAATAATAATGCCTATATCTAGTCCTCATTAATATGCATATTTTATTTTATTTGTTTTTCTATTTTTCTTTATTTTGTTTTTATTTCTTTTCTATTTATCTTTATTTTGTTTTTAATTTCTTTCCTTATGAGTTCCCCTTGTAATCCGGTTTATATGCCCCTCTTCTTATCAATAAGATATGTTGATCTACTCCAATATTTCAACAATGATAAACAAATCCAACAAAAAGTTTTTCGAGTTTGTTCATCTGTCAACCAAATATTCATAAAAGTGCTTAAAGTTGTTTAATTAATTAATTAATTAATTATGAACGAGCTTTAATCGAGAACACCGAGTAGCTTGTTAAGCGTTTTTTGATTTGCTGTCGTAGTCCCAATCTTGTGTTATTTTGTTGGTATTCTGCATTTAAATTTCTTTTGTTTTTTATAGAGGGAGAGGGAGGTATTACTATGAAGTTTGATAGTTAAGATATCCACATATTTGATTAGGTTAAGGTGAAATGAGGACATTTTTTGAGAAACATTTATTAATATAATGTTTAATATTAATTACCTTTTTATCTACTCATACTTAGCAATACTACTTTTTTATCTACCCATATTTAGCTCTCAATCCTTGATGTTACTCTTCTAATGAATGCAATTTTTATCCTTTCATGCAAATAACTTAAGCATTTATATATTCCGCCGCCCAAAGTTCGTCATACATAATGTCTCGACTTGTAGTAACAAACGATATAGGGGGATTTACATACGCACCACATAATTCTTATATATTTACATGTCTAACTCCTAAATTTTAATATTTATATTCCTAACACTTTCATAAACCTATGTATCAAAAAGGGCAATTCACTTCAAAAAAGTTACTAATAGTGGTGTTTTTTATATGATATTAAACATTTGTGCTATGCATGTAAATATGAAAGTTTAGGTGTTAGATTATGTAAATGCACAAGAATTGTTGGTTATGCATGAATGCCCCAACAATATATTATTTTCGGAACATCTGCATTGCTTAATATGTATATTCTGCTGCAAGTACGAGCTTAACACGAATATTCTGAAGTTAATTACAAGCTTAATTTTTGAGTGATTTATGCTTCAACATACTTAAAATGTTTTATATGATGAATCTAAAGTCTTAAATGGCCTTTATTTATGGCTCAAATCAGCTAACCGTTGACTTTTATTGCTCGAGTCTGCCATATATACCGGTAGGAGAATCATTGCTGCATCCCTCTGAACAGCTAATTTTAATTTGCAGATCTCTCCTGAGGATATCAGATGGGAGGGTGAGGATCCCAGTTTCCAGAGTCGAGGAGTTCGTGGTGGTGGAGCTGGTCGAGGAGGGGGGATCAAGAAGGCTCCAAGTCGTAACAGTGTAATTCGACCGGGCTTGGGTAGGGGAAGAGGGCCTTTAAAACATCAGTCCAAGAAGGACCTAAGATTATCACAAAATGGAATTGGGAAGAGAGGTTCTGGTGACATTGAGATACTAAACACAGAAAGCCTACTAAAAGAGGTACTAAATGATTTTGTGATGGCCTGTCAATTTGGTTAAAAATGTTTTTTTTTTTTAAATTTATTTTAAGTCCATTTTTTCTACCCATAATGAAATTTTAGGTGGAGAGAATTTTTAGTGCAAGTCATTCGGATCCCGTAGAAGTTGAGAAGGCAAAGAAAGTGCTCAAGGTAAGAACTGAATGAAGCTTGGGTTCTCATAATAAAGCTACGTGTTTTGTTTGAAATGCTGAGTTTTGATCTGTGCAGGAACATGAACAAGCACTCATTGATGCAATCGCTAGGCTTGCTGATGCATCTGATGGAGAAAGTGGTAAATATGCATAGCCTATCTTATATATATATATATTTTTTCGCCCGGCTGATGTTTCCATGGCGTTAGTCAAAGCCTATCTTTTTATCTGTAAAATTAAATTATGACAAAAACCTCCTTTCTCGAGGTGCTGGAATCTTTGTTATAGAGCAGATTTTTGTGGTTCATTTCTCTTTCGATCAAGTTTTTTCTTTCTTTAGAAGCTGCAAGAGTCTTGACAGGATTTTTTTTTTTGAAGAAAACATTCATATTTACATTCATAACATTTAAATCTTTAACATCTCAGCAAAAATACCACCATCGACATACAATTTTTCATGCATAGGCCTATGATCCAATGTAAAATATCAAACATTGGGCGTTATGTATGTAAATACACAAGAATTCTGTGGTATGCATGTAAATCTCACAAAAAAAAAAAGGTGAGATATCCTGCCTAGTTTGGTCTAGACTGACTTCAATTCTGTTGGATCTGCTTTAAAATTAATATAATTTATGTTATTATCTAAAAAAAATAATGATTATGATACTTATTAATTATGGTCAAATATCTGATAATTTATGAAATGAACTTCAATTTGTTTATTGAAGCAGAGAAACGAACAGCATAACGAATTGGCTTCATTTCTGCTTCCTGTTAATTTACATTTTCCATTGATCTCAAACTCAATGCATGATTTAAATATTAATATACTTAAAAAACACTGTCATTGAAGAAATTTCTTCTCTTCAGCGGATTGCGACCAGTCCTTTCCCTGAAAAGCAGAAGGCAGAGGAGGGACAAACAATGCAAATCCTCATCAACCAAAATGAGAAAACTGGGAGCATATTGTTGGTTCATACTTCAACAAGGATTGTTTTTAGCGATGGCTCTGATAGTTTTTAACAGTATTAGTTTTTAATGGAGGCTGTTAGCATGTAATATATTTTAGCCTCTTCTTGTCCGATGCTTTGAAATTATTTCTCTTATTTTGCTAACAATGTAAATTCTCTTGGTTTATGTTAGCAATGCATGAACCATGTGCTCTGTTCCATTCTATTTTAAATCCTTTTGTAGATTAGCTGATGATTTGTGGAGCTGATGTGCAAAATTTGTTTTATGAGGTGGTAATAATTTACAGATAATCTGCTGAATGCACAAATTTGTTGCTTTGACAAAGTTTTATGATAATATATTTTATTATTTATTTGAGCTTAGCTGGGCCTAGCTCTTAATCAAACCAAAGTATATTAATTAATGACAAGATAAGCCGCTGGTCATTAGCCTCCACTTCTTTTTAAACTGCAATTAGCCATGTTGTCTTCAATGCAATTTCGATTTTCAGAAATCAGTGGTTGAAAATCTGAATTGGCAATAGAGTACCAATTAGTTTTAATGGGATGATTGAGATTCATATCTGTATTTTGTGTAATAAATTACTTGTAATGCAGATGAGTGGAATGCATGCGGTATACAGATGACTGTCCCGTTCTTTGACTTCGAAACAATATGAGTCATGTACTTAGATGTAAAGAAAAAAAGAAGCCTAAATGAATGGAGATTCATGTGCATATCAAATTTTTAATCTATAAAACTAATATATAAAATTTAAATGAATAACCAAAGTATTTAAGTGTGATACGATCACATAACTAGAGTTTAAATAAGGAAAATATTTGATGCAATCAAGCAAACATAAAAAGAAAAGTACTTTGTTCATGTATAAAGCTGGCCTGCCTTGCGCGCAAATCACTGAACAAATGGAAATTTGCATAACGAAATTTAACAGGATTCCATTGGGCTTTCATATAAGGAAGAAATATTTACATACATACCACACTATTCCTATGTATTTACATATGAAACACCTAAACTTAAATTTTTACATACATATCACCTTATCTATGTATGAAAATGTCCACGTGACTATTTAGAAGTTAAAATGGTGATATTTTTTATGATAATAAAGATTTGGGTTGTTATAAATGTAGAAAAGGTTAAGCGATAGACATGTAAATTCATAGGAATTGGATGGTATGCATGTAAATGCCCCGCGTACAATGGTTATGCTTGTTGTTTATATCATCACAACAAAAAGAAGATGCACTTGTGCTACCACATGAGCATGCGTTTCTGAAACATTTCACTTATTTATAAACAAGGTTAATTAGGATATTCAAACATTTCACCATGCATTGCTTACCATAAGAAACCAACATATGCATAACAAGGTTTTTGTGTGTTAGAACTATATTAGGGTTGGACTTAACTTCCATCCCCTACAACTAATCAACAAAAGGAAAGACCATTTGAAAGAACCAAGAGTCAACTTGATGAGTAGTAACCATGGCTCATTCCTCGTTCTCCTTACCCTACATGTCTTGAGAAACTTAGAAATTGTTATTCCCCTGAGATTACTAGTGATGAAATCCTTAGTAGTTACGAGGAACGAATGCTTTGCATTGAAAAAAAAATATTAAAAGGTGCTTGAATGTGGAAGCACATTGGTTGAAACAAAGTGAAGAATTTCGAAGTATCGGCTTCAAGCACTCACCCTTGCTTTGTCTTAAAAAAAAATAAATAAATAAAAGGCACTACCTAAGAGACACCATTATGTACATGAGTCAATTTCAAAATGATCCTAATTTGAATCCATCAAAATAAAAGATCTTTCTTTTCTAAATTAACTCCTAGTGTGTTGTTACCATAAATTATAGTTAAAATTTATAATCCAATGAAAGATTTTAAGGATGAAAATGTTAAAAGTGATCCTTGTGAGAACACTATTGATGAAAATGAGATGGTAAGCACTTATGCATCATGATTTAACTATCCCTATAATTATTGTCTTTAATGATTTCTATTGAAATTCCTACAAAATCATATTTTTATGAGCTTCCAATAGCACTATGGTTTGATGAGCTTCATGGAGAATTATGCACTATAAAATCACCCATGAGGCTACCACTTTCGCACTTGCACTTGGATATGATCCCTAGGATCAATCATGTTTAAAGATGATGATTTTTTTATAAAAATAAATCTTATGATTGAACTTGCCTATATTTATTGAGGTCTCGCATATTTGTTTTCCTAACTACATTGCATATGTATGATAATGGATGTCAAAATGAAACAAAAATCAAATAGAAGAATATAATGAGCACCAAGCAATTTCTTTCCAGAAGTACAGGGAAAGATTGCATCGAATTAAGTAACGCTAGTGAGATTGCACATCAATTGCTCAGAGAGTATCATCAACAAATTCAACAAAAAATTATTCTTTTATGTTATGAAATGTTAAAATAAATGCTAATTTAAATAGGTTATTCATAGAATTTATGAGGGGGACTTAACAATCGACCCTGACGTCTTTTGATGTGGAGTTGCTAGATAACATATATATATGCGCCGCGTACTCAGTTGGACGGGCATCTGCTTCTCAGTTGTAAGTCCCCTCTAGTCTGGGGTTCGATGTCCCCCGATGGAGGGTGTGGTACTCGAATTGTTAGGCTCATTGGGAATGACCAAGACTTGTATAATAGCCTCAGGACATTCCTTAT